CACACTGCGTTCAACATTCCTTCTTATGAAAGACCCATCTTTATTCAGCTGAAAAAGCACATTGGCTTATCAATGCACACACCTGGACTATCTGGACTCTGTCTTTTATTTTATTGAACCACACCTGTCAATCTGCATAACACCATGACATGCTGTCAACATTTTAAATAATGCCCCCTAACCCGAAAAAAAAATACAGGAGGCTAAAAGGAGATGGATTTAAAAGACATACTGCTTCTACTACTAAAAAGTAGTTGAAAGGAGAGCAGAGGATGGTCAACTGTATATAAATATCTTCTATCAGCATGCAGGAGTAGTTTGTGTGCATGATGTTTGATTTTTTTCATCCTCAACCCTAGAAAGTGTGATGATCTTAAATAAAGAAATATAATAATCAGCATTGCTTTGTTAAATCTTTGTTAGTTACTTAATGTTAGGCACTATACAACTATAAATAAAAGAGGAGTGGAGTTGTATTATATATGAGAAATAACTACACCTCTATAGAACGAAAACCTTCTTCAATGCATTTTGGTTTATATAAAAGGAAAAAAGAATGATATTGCCATAGGTGTATATTATAGACCCCCAATCAGAGTAAATAGATAAAATTTTGCTAATCAGCTAGCTAAAGTGCGCAGGAAAAGCACTACGATAGTAATAGGGACTAACTAACTTGCCATCAACTGGGAGACAAACTGTACCAAGTGGAAAATCAAACAGGTTCCTGGTGAACCTAGCGGAAAATTTTATCATCCAAAAAGTAGAGGAGAGAACTAGAGAGTCAGCTATACTTCACTTAATTCTTACTAATATGGATGAAATGATAAAAGGTGTCTATGCCCAGTCTAGCACAATACCACTGAGAAAAAAAAACCAAGAATCAATGTCAAAAATAATGTAAAAAGTTTGTTTCAAGTTTCTTTCAACATATAAAAATTAGATGAAAGTCAAGGAAACAATCAGTCTACTGAAGAGAAAAGATGGCGTGGAGGTAACGGGCAGCGAAAGGGGAACTACTTCATTCATTCTTTGTATTTGTCTTTACACAAAATGAAAATATAGCCCAACCTAACAAAAATAGTACTGTGACAGATTTGTGATGACTCCCATCAGATGCTTCTGCAGATATCTCTCCACATGTCAGCTCGGAGGAAGATTATGCAGTTCCAGGAACATCAAGAGGGGAGTTGGTCAATGAGAAAAAACAGGAGCAGCGAAGGTCAGCCAGATTACTCATGAGGAGGCAGCCTCATGCTTCTTGATGGGCTGCACCAGAAGTTGGCTATTTAGCACAGCAGGAGATGATGTTGAGAACAACCTGTTTGTTTTCTTGCTGTGTGTTCTTGCCTTGAACTTTGGATGGTGTATTTTCAGCTGTTTCCCTTGCCTTGCCTCTACCTGTGGATTTGCCTTTGCCTTGAAGACTAGTGTTGGCTTCATTTGAGTAGCGTGTGGAACTCATTGAGGTTGAGCTGTTGCCATCCGTGGAATACCAATTCAGGCTTGGAAGCCTTAATAAAGATGCCTTGCACCCATGGTGTGTGAGGGAAGGACAACACAAGATTAGGAATGAAAGTCAAAATTAGGAATACAAGTCAAAATGGGCAAGAAAATAGTAATAAAACCCCTAACTCCATTTCTCTTCTGCTTCTCTTAATGCTGTGGTGTTGCAGTGTTTCCTGGCCCTTCTATAAAGGGTCTGGGTGTAGCTTCTTTTGTGTGCAGTGGAGAGGTTGCTTGTGAAGCTGAGGATCTGGTCTGTATGGGTAGGTTTGTGGTAGACACAGGTTTCCAGTTCTCTGTTGTCTAGAGTCCTTATGTCAATGTCGCAGAATGGCAATCTTTTGTCCATTTCCTCATCAGGTATGAATTTGATCCCGGGGAATATGTTGTTGAGTAGGTGGTATGTTTCTTTCACTTGGGACCATTTGATGATGAGGAAGATGTCATTGATGTAGCGTGTCCAGAATTTTAGTTAGATGGTGGATAGGGCTTTGAGTTTTTGCTTCTGTTATTAGGCCTAATATGGGTGACCCCACGGGGTGCCATGAACTTGCTTATAGATTTTCCCATTGAAGTATGTATTGAGAGGCATAGGTCCAGAAGTTTCATAATGGTTTCTATGGACATGGGGTGTTCTGTGGCAGTGTCATCTTTATGGGTATGGTGTTCATTGAGTAGATGGAGTATGGCTTGTTTAGCCAGATCAATGTCAATTGAGCTGAAGTGTAGTGGCATTGAAGGAGACCACGATTTCTTCCTTATGTGCTTGATGAGTTGGAGAAATTGTTCTGGGGAATTTATTGATTAGGTTGAGTTGTTGACTAGGTGTCTAAGTTTCCTCTACAGGGTTTTTGCTAATTTGTATGTTAGTGTACAAACTAGCAAAAACCCTCAGAAGAAACTCAGACTCTTAATTAATGCAGCACCACAGCATTAAGAAAAGCAGAAGAGAGATGTTTGCTTGACATCTTTCTATGCAATGGCTATCCAAAAAACATTGTATTCAGACAAAGTACCAACATCACAATGCACCACACAGCCAACCACCACACAAAAGGGATGTCAGAAATGACAGCCAGAATTCTCCAATCCCTAGGAATAGTAATAGCCCAGAAACCCACAGCCACATTCCTCAAGGAATTATCCAGAACCAAGGACAAGCTACAGAAGAATAAAAGAAACAATGTAATTTACAAAATTAATTGTAGCAATTGCAACCAATTCTATGTGGGACAAATACCACGTTGATTACAAACCAGAATACATGAACGCCAGCTGGCAGTCAAATGCTAGGATCCCAAATCCCTAATCTCTACCCACACTGACACAGAGCAGCATCAATTCAATTAGAACAATACTAGAATCATTGGCCATGCTATCACCTGCTACGTGCATGAGTTCATTGAAACTTAGCATTTCACAGACAGTTCCATCAACAGACACATAATCAGCCTATGAACTCCTCAGAATTCAATTGTAAGAGTCAACCAGCAACAGCACTGACCCTCAACCAATTCATGCAACCAGCACTTCACCTCCCAGTGACCTTCACCTGACATGACCTCCCCATCATCATTACAAGGCTTTTACCTGATCCAGCACAAGCCTCTCACCTGATGTGACCTCCCCATCACAAAACTTACCACACAGAGCCTTTATAAGCAGAAGAACACCAAGACAAACATCCCCTAAACTCTGCTGAAAATGTTACTTAGCCTGGTAACAAAACGTTTGGAAACCATCCCACAAGCTCAATGAATCAACCTCCACTCTCAACTCTATAATATACATTGGAAGACTTAGATGGCACGGGCACATTGTACACAGTAAAGAAGACTCGGTAGCAAGAACAACCATGCATCTAGACCCTGATGGCCAGCAACCCTGTAGAAAAAGTGGAAGGAGAACAGGAAATATGTGACCATCACCCCTGATGGAGATGACTGCAAAGACAAGCGGTCCCTGCCAAACAACAAGCGGTCCCTGCCATAATGTGGAAATAACTCTAGGAAGAAGAAGCTTTTATAGTATACATTAAAATAAAACTGACTAATTCGAATAGTTTATCAACACCTAATATCTCCCAAATGTTCTCTCAGAGCTACATTTTTACTTCTTCATGGAAGCTACTAGAAAAGAAGGAGGCAATTTATTCCATAAGAGAAGGCCCTTCTATAGGATCTCTGTAAATGGAATCTCTTGGAAATGGGAACTTCAGCAGGGTCTCTCCTCCAAATTTTGCTGGATGGGCAGATTATTAAATCTAATCTCTAAAATAGTTTCAATATAAGAAAGATGAGTTTTTATAAGAAATATCAGAAATTTTGTGTTAGAGGTGGCAGATACACATAACAAAATTAGAAATTACGAGGCTTCCATTGAAATAAACCCAGACTTGCCACAGTGACATTGAAATTATCAGAAAGGGAAAGATAATACTGTGCCTGATTTATAAATTACCTTTGGAAGGTACACATTTCGTTCCAACCATCCTGGTGGGATCAGTTATAAAAGATCAGCATGATTCAAGGATATAGATAAAATGTACTGGTGGTTGAATCCTCTTTTTTGTATGAGAATTGTCTATTAAATGACTTAATATGGAAAAGGAGGAAAATAAAGATGATGAATGTTTTAATTTACGTGGTTTATGTCTGCTGAGCATATGAAGCTGTTTTACATAGAATCAGCTATATGAGGCTGTCTGCCTTAACTGACAACAATATATTAAAGTCTCAGATAAAGATATTTCCTAGCCTTAAAGTAGATACTACTTATTGAATATATGATTCTTTGTGTGCAAACATATATTCTACTATTGATTTATGAATGCCATATGAACAGAAAGGCAGATTTAAATCAAAATGATTTATAAGGAGACATGACGGCACAGTGATTAGAATGCAGTATTGCAGGCTAACATTGCTCACTGCCAGGAGTTCAATTCTGACCGGCTCAAGGTTGACTCAGCCTTCCATTATTCCATGGACGGTAAAACGAGAAGCCAGATTGTTGGGGGTTCTATGTTGACTCTATAAACCACTTAGATAGTGTTATAAAGCACTATGAAGTGGTATATGTCTAAATGCTATTGCTATGGTACTAAAATAATTCTACTATATATCATAGTAACTATCTTTGGTTTGAGTTCTGTTACCTGCAGTATACTGTATGAGTTTTCAGTATCATGTACAGAATCTTAATATATAGAATTTAATAGTGAGAAACTAATGTAGAATATGAAATCATTCTGAATTGAAACACTGAAGGTAAAGTAAGAAGTGGAATAGGAGAAATAAAAACAGCAATCTTCTAAGTACTTGTCATCTATTATCCTGATCAGGGCACTTAAATGGCCACAGTAAAGTCAGTTGCTATATCCACTTCAGGCTGGATATAGCATCAACAAAGCAGAATTAGTTCCTCTGGTATTAATAATAGAATAACTGTGTTAATAAAACTGGAAATACAATATATGCAACATCTGTTTTTAGATCCCACCACCCCATTTCCAGAGACCTAGTGCTTCGTTATTACGTGCCCAGAAGGTTGATACTTTAAGATGTGAAATTCAAGAGAAATATGAATCAGACTTCCAGAAAGCTCTAGTAAGCATCAAAGAGCGAGTGAAAGAAATTGAAGGACCAGACATCAAAGAAACCCTCCAAGACCAGATCCGCCAGTGGTTTATTGAATGCCGGTGAGATACCATTCTTTCTTTCCCTAACCTCTCCTTATCTCTAATCACAATGACCATAAGAGTTTGTAAACATTTCTTTTAGATGGTTGGAATCAAGGCTGCTTCAGTACAGAAAACAGTTTTAAACAAACCAAAAAAATTATCGAAATCACAAGTTGAATCATCATTTCTCATCACTGTTAGCACAGATTCATGGATTTAGAGTACAATATCATATATTATTAGAATTCTTATGCAGAAATGTATAACAGGTTTTTTTACTTATACATAGAGCTATCTTGCACAAAACTCCCTGTAATGAAGTCAATGTAGTAACCTGTGTCTTTCAGTATATTGATAATTGTCATTGATACTGATATTTACCAACAAATATTAATTTGTAGATTAGTTTACATTATAGCTAGAACTGACTAAACAATAATTTCAGAATATTTTCAGGGAATTGTGTTTAATTAAAAAGGAACAAAAATAGATCCAGGAAACTACAGACTAATCAGTCTAACATCAATACCTGGGAAGATACTGGGGAAAAAAAAATTGAAAAATAAATATTTGAACACCTAGAAACAAATAAAGCTATAACTAGAAGCCAGCACGGGTTTGTTAAAAACAGATCATGCCAAACCAATCTTATTTCATTCTTTGACAAAGTGACTAAATCAGTTGACCAGCGAAATACTGTGGACGTAGTATATGTAGAATATACTAAGGCATTTGACAAAGTAGACTACACCCTGTATCTTGAAATTTTAGAAAAATGTTAGAAAAAAACCAACCTACTTCTTGCTAAGTTAGGAAAATAGTGGGATAGACAGCATCACCACCAGATGGATTTGTAACTGGCTGACAAAATGTACTCAATGAATCGTCCTTAATGGTATTACATCTACATGGAGGAAAGTAAGCAGTGGGGTGCCACATGCTTCTGTCTTAGGCCCAGTACTCTTCAATCTATATATATAAAAGTGAAATGCGTCTCATGCAACGTCATGAAATCTCTAGAACAATAAAGCCTACAAACTTGGTCATTCTATGTGCACCACGGGAGAACCCAAGCATGAGTTTAACTTTTGGCCATTAGCCTTGAGACTGAGTTAAAAAAAGTCTTGTCCACACCCCTTCTAGTTGGTAGAGCCCAGTTTTGTATGAAGGCACAGCCGATCAGATAAATGGAAATAAGGTAAGTTCTGAAAAATACAACTGGAAAGGTAAGTTATTCCCCAAGACCCCGGACTGAGACTGCCCAAGGGTGGGGTTGGATTCTCCCACGGCACACATAGAACAACCATTCAGGTAAGCCAATGGTCTTTCTCCTGCGCGCCACTTGGAGAATCCAAACATGGGACATGCCCAAGCATATGGATCTAAGGACGAGTACTGGAATGGTCCGTGGTCTCAGGAACATTGATGACCCTCTGCAGTACAAATCACCCAAAGGAGCCTCAGTGGAGGCATATACGTCCAGTTTGTAATGTTTGATGAAGGGTGATGATGATGACTAAGTCGCCGCCCTGCATATCTCTTCAATCGAAGTTTGTGTGGCCCAGGCAGCGGTGATAGCTGCATTTCATGTGGAATGGGCCATAATCCGTCTGGGCACTGGGCTGGCCTGGATCTCATAGGCTTGAGAGATACACGCCCTCAACCAACGCCCCACAGTGTTAGATGTCACCTTCACACCCGTGGTTGCTGGTTGAAAGGAGATGAATAATGATTCTGTCTTCCTGAAAGCTGCTGTTCCTTGACATATTGGTGTAGGGCCCTTCTCACATCTATGTGGTGCCAACTTCTTTCGCGAGGATGTTGTGGTCGCGGACAGAAATTGGGGAGAACAATCTTGTGGGACCTGTGAAACCATGAGTTGATTTGGGGTGGGAATGCTGGATCCAAACATAAAACAACTCTGTCCGTATGAAAAATGCAGAGATCTTGGTGTACCAAAAGGGCCCCCAACTCTGATACTGCCAGCAGCTCCTGGGTGCAGAGGACAAACCGAACGGTAGCGCTCTGTACTGGTAATGCCAGTCTGCAAATTGGAACCTCAGGAACTTCCTGTGAGCTGGACATATGGGCACATGGAGATAAGCCTTCCCTGATGTATGCAGCCTAAGATGGATTTGAGGTACTGCATCTTGAAGTTTTTAGACTTTTTCAAGTCTAAAATAGCTCGCCACCCTCCCGAGCTCTTGGGCACTAAGAATAGGATTGAATAAAATCCCCTGCCCTCGTGTCCCGATGGAACTGGCTCTATGGCCAATATGTCAAGCAGGTGCTGGATCTCGGTGTTCATGAGATTCTTTTTTATTTGACATCTGGGAACGGGACCCCTGATGAAATGTCTCGGGGGATGGGTGGAGGTGGAAAGGAATTCTAGAGCGAGGCCCAGCCTCACTGTCTACAATACCCAAGCATATGTGGTGGATGCTTCCCATTGACTTATGAAGTGGGTATGTTGTCTACCATGGGATGCGGTGTTTGGGAACCACTTGTATCTGCAAAACGGTCAGTTGCTTGAGCCTCGAAAGGGCTGCTTTGCAGGAGGTTGTTGCTGCAACAACCTCCTGCCTCTATCACGAAACCCTGACCTATTCTGAAACCTGTCCTGGTATCTGTCGGATCCCTGATTGTATGGCCGATGGTACTGGGAGGAGTATTACGAATATTGTGGAGCTCCAAATCCCTGGTCAGCCGGCCGAAAGGACGGTCGTCTGAAATAGAGTTGCGTCCTGTGATCCACCCGCCTGTGAGCAAGGGGAAGCACCTTACTTTTGTCCCTATTTTCTACCAGTATAGGGTCAAGGGCTTCTCCAAAGAGAGGCCCGCCCTTAAATGGAGCGAAAGCGAGACGCCACTTGGAATGTAGGTCACCCTACCAGTGGCATAGCCACAGGAGACGACTGGATGTAATGTTGGAAGCTAGCACCCTAAACGCAAACTTAGCAACGTTGAGCGTAGTGTCCGAGAAAAATTTGATAGCCGCCACCAGTTTGTTAATAATAGCCGGAGAACCTCCAGAGCAATTCTGGCCTGCAATTGTCTGAGCCAGACCAGAAAAGTCCTATTAAAAAAGGACGCTGCAGTAGATACCCTCAGCGCCCAGGCGGCCACCTGATGCATCCTGCAAAGAGTCATCTCAGCTTTGCGGTCCTCCGCCTTTAAACCATCTGACACATTGGAAGGCATGATAGCTGGGGAAGCTAGGGCTGATACTGGTGGATCCACTGGAGGAAGCTGTAATAATGTTTCAAATTCTGTACTAGCACTATAAAACTTCCTATCATTATTACCTGGAGGAGGCACTGAGCTGGGTTGGGCCCGCTGTCTTTGAATGACATCAGAGGCATTGGAACAGCCTCTTGCTCTGGAACCTGCCCTGCGAAAAGGCATTCCGTGGAGTCTAATTCTACCACTGACCTTGCAGGGTTAGAGATGCCCAGCCCCATGTTGGCAGTGGCTTTGGCCTTGTAAAGTAATGTCTTAAACAGATGAGGGTGAAATAGACCCGAGAATGCTGGTTTGTCAGGGACCCAGCCTTCATCATCTGAGAACTCCTGATCCCTTAGATCAGTGTTACTCAACTTTGACGACCTTAAGTCCTGTGGACCTCAACTCCCAGAATCCCCCAGCCAACACAGCCTAGATCCTCCTCTGCAGCCAGTGAGTTTTCACTGTGCAGATAATGAGCTGGTGAAGAGGTCTATTGGGGCTGCGCTCTGGCAAAGTCAAACTTACAGGATCTAGCACACATGCGCACCTGATGATCAGGTGAGACCAATTTTCAGCACTGCCATGCATACAAAAGGATCACACTCCACAAACACCACACTTCCGAGTTTGGTCGTGCATGCACACCCGACAATCAACTGGCTGGTGCGCATGTGCACATAGGTTTTCGGCACTGCTGTGTGTGCAAAGGAAAGCTGATCATCACGTGCCCATGCGCGCTAGAAACCTGGATGCCAAACAGGCAAGGCTGCGCATGCCAAGCAACATGGCTTTACGTGCTACTTTGGGTATGTGTGCCATAGTTTCATCATCTCAGTACTATATTTATTTATTTGATTCTTGTTAGTTTTTATTGTTTTAAATGTGGTTTTATATTCTGCAAACCTCCTTGAGTCGCCATGGGCTAATAAGCAGCAATAAAAATTCAATAAACATACAAATAAATAAATAAAATACCCCAATGAAGAAACTGCCAAACAAGCTGACAGTAAATAATATCCTGGTCAAGGAACCACTAATACCACTCCCACTAGAGGAAACCACTGGTATATAAAATGAGATCAAACCTCATCTTACTGATGATATTACCTAGTTTGGTGATGAAACATCTACAGGAAAACAAAGCTCAGAGAGCACTGGAGACCCCACAGTCCAACCCTGACCTACAAATATCCTATTAGTTATCAAGTAAATTTAATTTTATATTTTATCCTATTCAAACAGGCACATTACAGGAAAATTTCCTGATTATCCTGATGAAGAACAAGGTGGCTCAGCAGTTCTTTTCTCAGAAAAAACTCCAGAAGAGGTAGAGTTTATTTCAGTATAAATGTATATGGTTTTTACTGTCCTTTTAAAAAGCAAATAAGTGATTCATGACTTAGGCATCCTGAAGGAAATTGCTACTGATTTCCTTTAGTTCAATGTTATAGTGCATTAATTGCTTGTTATACATTGAATGTTATAATAATGAATTCTACTTATAGAAGAGAATTACAAGATAGGAACAAATAAATTTGATAAATAAATTGATATTTAATAAATAAAAAACAAAATGACCTGATATAGATAACTAGTTCATTAATTATAGCAATTTCCGTCACTCTAAAAGGTGATAGTGAGCTTTGCATACATTTTGAATACATCTGGACATCAACCAAAATGAAATGGTGTGCTTTGTCAAGAGTCAAGAGTATTTAAAATGTTGGTTAAAGTTATTTATTCATTAGATTTGTGGTAGCTGGAGCATGTTTGCAGTAGTGCCTCCCGGTTTTATTTTATTTTATCAATTTTTAGTATTCCCATTGGATCCTTTTTAATTTAATTAACATTT